AAGGGAAGGAAAGGAAAGGAAAAGGAGAACAGGGGAGAAGAAGGTAGAACAAACATTGAGGGTGGGGGGGATGCCTGCTTCACTGGGGTCTCAAATTTCGATTGACAGTATCTCTGGTAGGACGGACATCACAGGTCCAGGCTGTGCCTGAACAAGAATTCTCTCTACACCATTACCCCAGGAGTGGTCATCAAACATTTTCTTGAAGCCCTCTAAAATGAGGGAAGCCCACTGCCTCCTGCAGCATCTCCTCCCACTTTGGGAAAGCTGCAATACTTGGGAATTTTCTTCTCGCACAAAGGGCAGCCCTTCCCTCCTGCAGCTTCTGCTGATTTTTCTTGGTTTTGTGTTTGGAGATCAAGTAGAATAAGCTGAATTCCTCTTCCACATGAAAACTCCACAAATACTTGGATCCTGTTAACACATGCCTTGTAAGTCTTCCTTTCTCTAGGCTAAACACACTGGGTTGTGCCCACTGATCCTTGTACCTCATGGCTTACAATCCTCTCTGTCATCCTCTGTCACACAGACCACTCTGGTCATCCTTTTCTGGATGCTTCCCCACAACGTCTCTCCCCTTTCTGGAAATGTGGTGTCCAGAACTGAGCACAACACTTCACGTGAGGTCTGCCTAAGGTTGTCTTCCCTAGTTTTAGATTCTCAGTTTCTCTTCAGCCAACCGTATGTCCCATTCACTTTTCTGGATTTTTGTATCCACTGTTGACTTATATTTAGCTTGTACTCCACTAAAACACTAAAATATATGTTGAGGGGATGAACTGGTCTATAGTCACATCTCCCCATCTTCAAATTAGGATTGGATATTTTGAGCCCCTTCTGGACCTCAAGTTTCTCATTTCTAAAAGAAGTGAAAGGACTACCAGCCTACAAGTGCAAAGACCTGGGTTTGGGTTCAAGTTTAGTACAAAGTAACTGTCCCTTTCACTAGTCAATTACTCCTCTCTGGCCCTCATTCTCTTCTTCTGTAGAAGGAGATGGCATTCTCGCTCTGACTCCTCCCCCAGACACTCACTAACTATGTGGTCATGCATAAGTCACTTTACTGAGCTTCAAATTCTTCATCTCTAAAGCAGTAGGGTAGTAGCTACTTCCCATAGTTGTTGCGGACATGAAATAAGTTAATTCAAGTAAAGAATTAGGCAAACCTTCAAAGGAGGTTAGACAAAGTCTGCTATTGTTATTGTATTACTGGTTGAACCTGTATTCATCAGGTCCTGCTGTGAGGCCATCAGGCTGGCAATCCTCTATCTGGCTCTCAGATCCAAATGGGACTTCCTGGTTGTTTGTAGGTTTCTATTAATTTGGAATGACTTTTCCAATTTGTTTTTTCAAAATTGTCCTTTCATACAGATTCCTTGCATAAAAGCCATTCATTCTACTCCACAGCCAAGATCCAAGACCAGAAGAGAAATCCCAGTATTCAGTCAGTCAGTCAATCAACAATCATTTAGTTAGGAGTTAGAATATGTCTAGCACTGTGCTAGACACAAAGAAAGACAAAAACAGCCTGCCATCAAGGAGCTCACATTCTAATTGGGGCCGAATACATACAGAGTAGATGAAATGTATGCATTTCTTATATACGTTCTTTTGTCATTTCCTTCCTTCCCCCCCTCCTTTTTTTCCTTCTTTTCCTTTCTTCCTTCATTCTTTCCTTCCTAACTTCCTTCCTTCCTTTCTTTTCTGCTTTTTTTCTTTATTCCTTTCTTTCTTTCCCTCCTCTAATGATTTATAAGGCTGTAGTTTTAAGAAGGCAGAATTATGGTATAGGTAATAGAAGACCAGCCTTGGAATCTGGAAGACTTGGGTATAAGTCCTACCATTGATACATACTGGCTGTGTGACCATTGTCAAGTACCTTGTCACCTCAGTGCCCCTAGCAATTGTTTAAGGCAGTATCCTGCAGAGCAGATGCCAATCTATCTTGATCGAGAGGATTTCTTCACCAGAAAGTTCCTTCTACTGATGAAATCCTAGATCTAGTACAAAACATTATACCGTTTAGGTAAGTTACGTCTTTTTTGATTTTTTAAACTTTTGTCAGTAGAATTCTCTCTAGGTTTCAGTGATAGACGAATCTGAATGTTGAATACAGTAGATCCTAAGTCTATGTGGTATTATGTAAAGAGCCCCCAGTTTGGAGTCAGGAAGATGTTGGTTCACGTCCAGATTCTGCTGCTTCTGACTTTGACGTCCTGGCTCAAGTCACTTACCCCTTAAGTCTTCAATTTCCTCATTTAGAAGAAAGGCTACAACTTCTAGGGCTACATATCCCAGAGAGATCATGCAAATGGGAAAAGGACCCACATGTACAAAAATATTCATTGCAGGTCTTTTTGTGGTGGCAAAGGATTGGAAATTGAGAGGATCCCCATCAATTGGGGAATGACTGAACAAGTTGTGGTATATGAATGTAATGGAATACTATTGTGCTGTAAGAAATGATGAACAGGCTGACTTCAGAAAAACCTGGAAAGACTTGTATGGTCTGATGCTGAGTGAAGTGAGCAGAACCAGGAGAACGTTGTACACAATAACAGCCACGTTGTGCATTGACTACTATTGATAAACTTAACCCTTCCCAGTAATACAAGGATCTAAGACATCTGCAAAGGCCTCATGATGGAAAATGCCATCCACATCCAAAGAAAGAACCATGGAGTTTGAATGCAGATCAAAGAATACTATTTGCTATTTTTTTCTTCTGTTGTGATTTGTTTCCTCTTTCTGGTGATTCCTCTTATTAGTTCTAATTCTTACTTACAACATCACTAATGTGAAAATATGTTTAATAGGAAAAAAGAGAGACTACAGTGCGGGCAGAAGTTTTCTCTTCACCTCCCAGGAGAATAAGTTCTGGCCTCGACTGCCATTCCCAGAACTGTCTCTGGATCATGAAGGAAGAAGCCTCTGCAGAGCTCATCAGAGGGGACCAGGGAGGTTGGAGAAGTCTCTGGGAGGCAAACCCTTTTATTCAGATGAGCTTTGTTCTGGTGTTGGGCTCTTTGCAGCCTTGCAGTAAAGCTTCGTATCTAGTTGGGTATCTGCTTTTCCTTTGGCATGATCCTTAACTTAAGTTTGATTCACAAAAATCTTGTCTATGTGCATGAACATCAGCTAAGGACACTTAGGTCAACACCTTTCTGGGAATGTGTCTGATGTGCCACCATCGAAGGGTTCTCTCCCTGTATTCCACTCTGGGTGTGCCATGCCATTGCTTGGCAGGAAGACTTTATCTACTGTTCACAGGACCCCTGGGTGCCTGAGACCACCATCCTGACCATGCTGGTGACCCTGTAAGTTCTCTAACAATCAAATAAAATTCTAGCAATGCAACTGATCACTCTAAGATCTGTAAAAATAAAATAAGTGAGGGTAGTGAACTAGACTACTCTGACATCCCTTCTGCCTTTCAATCCTGAATATAGAAGAAGAAAATGTCATGCCATTTGTTCTTTCTAAAGGAGTTTCTTTTTCTTCTGCTTTTTAAAAAATTATATTCCCATCATTCTAAAATGTTCTAATGTGAATGCCAGGGAGACTATGTACAAAGCACTGAATTAGTAATACCAAATCATCATAATAAAAAGGTGTTTCAATTTACAGAACATTGTGTGTAAAAAGGAAATTAGGGAAATTATTGTGTGTGTATGTGTGTGTGTAAAATATCTTGTAAAAATTGGCTTTGACTGGTTCTGCCGGTATAAATGGCTGATCAGTATTCCAATCAGGCTTTTGACTGGCAGATTATCCTTGATGATCGACAGAGAAGACTTTCACCAGCAGAAGCAGCCTGATACAGTGGAAAGTGTGTGCTGAATTTAGAATGAGAGGATTTAGATTCAAATCCTGACTCTGTTTCCTATTTCTTAGGTAGTCTTAAGCTCTGTGGGCCTCACCTCCAAAATCAAGGGCTTATATTAAATGATCTCTGAATTCCCTTCTATCTCTAAATCTCTGATTCTTGAAGAGGAGGAAAGAAAAATCCAATGGACCAGGAGAAGTGAAGTCATTTAAATCAGGCTGGTCATTATATCTGAGATTGGCCAAGGTTGTCTAATTCACATTCGTGCTTTTTTCCTTTGGCTTTCCCCTTGCCCTTTTCTCTTTGTAAATTGGTTTCGGTTTTTCAGCTTTCACTCTTGGGCTAACGTCCCCATTTTCTTCTCTTCCATTTCTTTCCTCTTTGGTCCCTGAAGGGGATTGAAACTGTTCCAGGAGCCTGCAGAGCTGGGCATGGTAAGTTGCTAAGGCAGGTTTAGGCTGAGATAAGAAAAAATCAGTAAATCCCAGTTTCAAGTTCCAGCAACTCTGTTGCGCTCAACTGGCCTGAAAGTACCAAGTTTCCTGCTTTTGCTACGTGTCTTGTCTGCTCTGTAGTCAACTCCAAATCCTGACCCTGACTGCCAAGTTTATTGCTCATGATGAATTTTAATTCAATTCAACAAGCATTTATTAAAAACTTTCTCTGTGAAAGCTATGTGCTGGGAATACAAAAAACAAAAAGAAAATCAAAACAGTCCTTGCCCTCAAGGAGTTTACATTCTCTTGGGGATATAAACATTTACACACCTAAGTAAATATGAATAATTTGAGGAGGGAGAGAACATTGCCAATTGCAGGCAGGTGGCAGGAATAGTCTTCTGTGGCACTTTCCAGAGTTTTAATTTTATTTTCTTATAAACTTGATATATAGTAATAATATGAGCATTTTCATACACAAAGAATGAGAAAAAAACATAGTCTATGTAACCAAGAATTTCTATTACATATAACTTTTTAAGGTATGTACCACATTTACATATTAATTCTAAAATATTTCTGCTTGTCTTTCCTCCTAAATGTCCTGCTCCTTTCTGTTCCTTTAAAAATTGTTTTGTTGACTCTTCTTTCTTCTTTTTTTCCCACATCACCGTCCCTACTACCATCCCCCAAACTTTTCTGTCCCTTCCTCCCAAAAAACCTTCTCTTGGAACTCAGAAAATATGGAATGCTTCCCAACATGGCATGTCCTTTCTTGGGCAGAAGCCATGCTAGGCTTTTCTGTATCGTTCCAATTTCAGTAAATGTGCTGTTGCAGACAGCACAGGAAAGTGATACTTGAACTCGGCCTTGAAGGGATGTGATGATTCTCAGAAGTGACGGTGATTAAGGAATGTCCAGGCAGAGGTGAGACATAGCAGGCCAGGTTCAGACTGGCTGGAAGGTGGACTGATGAAGGAGACACAACCTACCATTTATTTCTTGGGATACAGTCATAGAACCCAGGAGACATTGCCACAGTGACAGCTACCACTGTTTCCTTGGCAAGACATCCTTCCAACCTAGAGAGAGGAGAAATTGTGAGACATCCAAATATATTCCAAAAGACTGGCTATGCAGTAGAGAAATGCAGGCACCAATTGATAATTGAATCAGCTATGTTGTATAAACTCAGATGTTGAGCAGGGTCACAGAATCACAGATTTCAAGGGACCTCAAAGTCATCCAGCCGCAACTGTAGTTGAGTGAGAATCCTCCTTATAACATAGTTGTCAAGTACTTATCCAGCTTCTTCTTGATGAAGCAGACTGTCTCCAAGGTAACTCAGCCCTATTTCAGACAGCTCTCATTGTTAGATAAGTTTTTATGTTGCTGGAATCTGCCTCTATAATTCTGAGGTCAAGAAGAACAAATCAAATCCTTTTCCCACATGACTGCCCTTCACATACTTGAAGATAGCTATCATGTGCCAATCAACTTTATCTTCTCCCTGCTAAACATTCTCAATACCTTCAACTGGTTTTTGTATGGCCTTGTTCTCCAGTATGGCCAGAATCCCAGATACTATCTTCTGAAGCTTTTCCCGTTTGTCAACACCCTTCCTAAAATGGGCCTTCCACCCAGCATGGAACAAAATACTGTGGATATGGTCTGACCAGGACACAGGGGGCCATCTCCAGTCATCCTGATATGTATCTTGCCACTGGGCCCAGATGGCTCCAGAGGAGAAAGTGAGGTTGGTGACTTTGGACAGCCCTCTCTCACTTACAAGTCATGGCATCACCTTCCCGATATCACGGTCCTCCTTGAGTATGGAGGACAAATTACCACCACCACAACCAGGACACATTACAATGTCTCTCTCATTCTAATCAATGTACTTCTCTTCATTCCATCTGAGGTGGTTCATTTTTTTGGAAGCTTTGTTACTCCGTTGGCTCATTTTGTGTTGTAGGTTCATTCAAAACCCTTAATCATTCTTTGAACAACTTTCCTCTAGCCAGACCCTGTCTTCCCCTATTTGTACAGTTAACTTTTGAAGTCCAAGTGGAAGGATTGGCATTTGTTCATGTTGTAATGTTGCTATTAATTCTCTCTGGAGTATAGGTTAGGAAAGCTGGACATTTATCCCCAACATTTGCACAAGAAAAGAACACTTGATTTTATATATGTATATATATATATATATATATACACACACACATACACACATGCACATGTACATATACATATCACATGTGACATATATGTATATAATAAATATCATCTATAAATACAAATATGTGTAATTATAGATAAAATCACATACATATATATGTATGTGTTACATGTGTGTGTACATATGTATGTAGGAGAGTAGGAATAATGATTGGACCTGTGATTTTAGTGGTATGAGGGAAACCTGGATGAGTATGCTCCCTTTACTGATGAAAGATGAAACCTCAGTATTTATATTTATAGAAAGTCACCTAGACTGGGTATTGAGGGGTGAAGTGACTTGTCCAGGGTGAAACAGTCAATTTGTGACAGAGTGGGGACTTGAATCTTTTTGGCTTCAAGGCTGACTTCATGATGACATATTACTTTTTTCCACACAGATATTCTCCAAGTGATGCTACAAGACTATGAATCATGTAACAGCTAAATCTCAGAAGAATCTCAATCAAAAGCCATCCATCAAAACCCAGAGAAAAGAGGAACAACATCTTTAATCAAGCTGAAGCATATGCCTGATGATAATGCAGGCTTGCACAATGTCTAAGAATGCATGTGGCCAAAAATGGAGGTGGGCCAGTCCTATAATGAGAGTGAGGGCTCATAGATGGTGAGTTTGGGTGCTTAAGTGATATCCATGAAATATTTTTAGATTTTTTTGAAAAGCAACTTTTCCCCTCCCTCCAAAGGAGTAAGATTTCCAGCATATTGGATGAACCTCTATGGAAGAATTACAGAAATACAAAAACAAGAATTATGCATTGGGATTTGGGACCTCTAAGTGTGAAGGGAATACGTCTAAAGGTTAAATCATGGCTTCATCAAGGTATTGGATAATTATTCTAGTTTATATATAGACAGAACCACCCTTTGGAGTTGGTAGAAAGAGTAATTCCTTGACAACAGGAAGTCTCCATTGCCCAGAAATATCTGTACGTGCTGGCTCACAGCTCCCTGGAATTAGATACCAATTCCTTAAGGTTTGACTCCTTGTCGTAATGCAAATACTCCTGAGAGGGACAACATTTTATATTTCACAGATACTCAAGTTACCTCACTGCTTCCTCATCCCTCCACATTTGGTAGATAATAGCTTCTCAGATAATTTACGCTGAGCAGGTTTTAGTAAAGAGAAGGGATAAGAACATGAGAATACTGGTTCCGTAGGATGTGGGTGGACTAGAGGGAAGACATAGTGTTAAGAGGGAAAAGACATTAAACCAAAAGGAGACTGGAAGAAGATGATTTTTTTTCTTTCTTCCTAATCCAGCCAAATAGGAACTTAGTAAGTCCGTGTGATGATATGGAAAGCACTGTCTTGGCATTTGCTCAAACTATACCCATGCCTGCTGTTTACTCTGCCCTCCCTTCCACCTTTGAGAATACCAAGTTTCCTTCATAATTCTGATCAAAAGTGACCTCCTACCTAAGATCCTGCCTGTTTATGCCAGCCACTCATGCCTCAGCCTCAGCCCACAGAGGAGGATTGCAGGGTCAGAGACCTTTAAGTGGACTCTAGTCCGATACCCTTCCTCTCTCCCACTTCCCAAATGATGAAACTGTGACTTTGTACATTTCTGCAGTGTCTAGAGTTTTCTCACCCTGGAACAGCCTCCATGCTGGTGGTGCCCTTCTCCCTGTGTTTCCTCTCAGAGCCTCCATTTGGAGGATGATCCAAGGTCATATGTCCTTCATTCCTCTGCCAGCTGTGGTTCTGACTCTCTGGGCTTTTCCATCGTATTCTTGCTTAGATACCCTCCCCCACCTTCCCCTTGCTTTTTACAAGTTGTCTTTCTGCAACAAAATGTAATCTACTTGAGGGCAGAGCCTGTCTTTTTTTGCCTTTACATCCCCAGCACTTAGCACAGTGTCTGGCAAATAGTAAACGCTTGTTGACTTGACTCAGATATTTTCTGTGTTTATTTACCTGTGTACACGTCAGCCTTTCCTCCCTTCTCCACAAAATGTAAACCCTTTGAATGCAAGGGCTGCTTTTGGTTTTTGTATGCACAACATCTAGCACAGAGCCTTGAACACTGTAAGTACTGAATACATGTTTGTAGAATCGAATTGAAGATATGAAGATAAAATGGGAAACAAGGGATGGCCCTCTATAGAGCTCAGGAAACCCTCTCTGCCTTGCAGATTGTATCTATCTTGGCATCATATACCTAATACTGTAAGTAACCTTAGGTGTCATCTAGTCTAACACTTTATGTTGCAGGTGAGGAAACTGAGAACCTGGCTAATTTAGTGACTTGTCCAAGGTCACATAGATAGTGTCAGAGGTGGGATTTGAACTATGTCCTTTGACACCAGAGCTCTATCCCTTGCACCATACTGCCTCCCCACGGGGAGATGCTTGAGGCACCCAGGAATTGTGATGTGCCAGAAGACATACAGTTAATAAATGTCAGAATGGGAAGGGAAACTGATTCTGCTTTACTCAATACTGCACACCCTCTCCATCATGCCAGGCTTTCCCTGGCATTGGCACAGATGCAACAAATTTAAAAAAGTTTTAAATTAGCTGCAAACAAGAGTTCTTAACCTAGAATCCACATACCTAAGGGATCTATAGATGACTTTAGGGGGGACTGTGAATTTGGATGGGACAATGCATCTTTATTTCAACATGATTGGTATTCTTTGTAGCCCGATGAATTTTATTTTGTGAATTTAAAAACATTATTCTGAGGAGTACATTGGATTCACCAGGATGCCCAAGGGCTCCAGGGCCCACAGTAAAGGTTCAGAACACCTGGGCTTTTGAAGGACACTGGCAGATAGATGTCCTGAATGACCTCCATGAGTAAAGTCTATTTAAACTATAGAATTATTTGCTTTCCCACATTTTCAGAGATAGTCACATACAGTAACATGATTGTTAAGCCTGGCATGTAAAATCACTACACTAGCTACAAGAACATAACATCACATAGAAGGTCACTAGGTTGAAAAATCAGTTTTCAAGCTAGTGCACTGGGACTTTGTATTCACATTTGTGATGGTCTGGAAAGCAGACTATTTCAAAAAGTGGCCGAGAAATAAATACAGAAAATGTTCATCAAATGATGTTGGCTTATTCTGACAATTGATATTCATGCTCATAAACTAAAGCCTGAGAAGGGCACAAGGGACTTTTTCTCCTTAGGGCATGGAGTAGAGACAATGCAGGGCCTGATGAAAAGGAAAAATTCAGAGAAGGAAAACATGAAAAATTTGTGGTGGGCTCAAACGTCTTTTTAAATGGTGTGTGTGTGTGTGTGTGTGTGTGTGTGAGTGTGTGTGTGTGTTCTGTGAGTGAGAGTGTGAGTGAGTGTGTGTGTATGTGTGTGTGAGTGCATGTTTGTGAGTGTGTGTGTGTGTGTGTGTGTTAGAAGGATTAGCAGTTGGATTCCAAAGTTCTGGAGATGGTACCTGTCTCCTGGGGTTGTTGTGAGGATTAAATGAGATAATTGTAAAGTATTTCGCACAGTGCCTGACACATAGTAAGCACTATATTGGTGTTATCAATGATGATGATGATTATGATGATACAAGAAGAGTAAAGATGTCCTGGACAATTATGGCTCTCCTTTCATCAAGGAACAATGAAGTCAGAAGAGCT